GTATGTATGTATGTATGTATGTATGTATGTATGTATGTCATGGGGTGCGATGGCTCAGCGGTTAAAGATGCTGACCTTATCAGTGGGAGAGCTGACAGCTCAGGTTCGAGACCCGAGTGCTGCGCAACGGGGTGAGCTCCTGTCCTCATCCCAGCTCCTGCCCACCTAGCAGTTCGAAAGCATGCAAACACGAGTAGATTAACAGGCTCCAATTCAGTGGGAAGGTAACAGCATTCCGTGTGCCTTTGGCATACAGTCATGCTGGCCACATGGCCATGAAAATTGTCTTGGAACAACGCTGGCTCCCTCAGCCAAGAAGCGGAGATGAGCAGCGTGCCCTAGAGTCGAAGCTGACTGGCCAGGGAAATCTTTACTTTTAGATAAAATCTGATCATGCTGATAGGGAATTGTATATATGTGTGCGTGCCTTTGTGAGTATCTCCTATAAGAATGCCCAAATTCATCAAGAGCACTTGCCCATTATGAACGTATTTTGCAATTATTTGCAATAATTCAGAGCTTCGTATTTTCCCAGAAGCTTATAGCCAATTCTGAAGTGTTTCCAATTTGGCCAAAGATTTCTATAAGTTGGTATCGCTAAGATCAGCACAGGGATTTCTGAAACCATTTTTATTTCAATTGCCTGCCATAGGCTGATGCCAAGAGGGCCAGAGGAGTGTTTCTTTTCATATACATACATTAAACGTATTGAATAAGTGAATTAAAGCACCCTTATGAAAAATTATATGGGGGGGGGGGAATTGTTGAATTTCTGAATAAAGGTTAAATACCCTGAATCAACTCAGATTCAGTAAATATGGAATGAGTTGAGCTGGACTAATTTTAAAAAAGTGATATGAAATATTCATGAAAGTTAAATCAGATGTAGTAGTGTTCAATGTAATTTGGCAAATAGAAAAGACATTCAGTTTAACCCTTATTGCACCGTGAAAATCTAAAGCAAAATAAAAAGTAATTGGCACCAGTTGGACCAATGGAGAAAGTCAAACACTGCTTCTTAGGATTCAGGTAAACATTCCTAATAACATTCATATTTAATATAATTGATCTTGGAATATTAATGCCACTTTCTCCCAGCAATGCCTGGTCAACTAAGGCAACAGTTCTAATGCACGAAGTGGGGGAATGAGCAAGATAAGTAAATACTTCTTGCCAATCCATCATTCAAATTTATGAGTTTACTCAGCCAATTCATCAGATCAGAGCGTTTTGTCAAATCCATTAAAAGTTTTATATTTTATCTTGAAAGGCCTGGTTCATAAACGCTGTGTAATATCATTTTTATGGTACTGGAGCATCTCATTTTTTTTCGGTATGTTTTTATTTTGAAATAAAAACTGTCTAGATAACTGTTTGTAAGACAGGCATCAAAACTGCTAATGAGACTCCACGAAGGGAAGTCATCTTGATATATTCACAGCTGTTTTACTATACCCATCTCTGTCCTTGGTTAAAGAAAAGAAAAAATCCAGTGGAATTCAAAATTATATTAAGAGAAGATGAAAGTCAATAATCAACAACCCTTTCAGAAAATTGTTCTGGGCAACAATAGTATCACTTGAAACCCATTGTTGTCTAAGTGTTTGGAAGATTTAGTGTTATATCTCAAATGTATCCCCAACAAACCCAGGAATGCATTTTCTGTTCTAGCTTTCAGCTAAATCAAGTAAACTCACCTCTTTGACCAGCCGATATACCTGCGTGGGAGCTTGTGTTCTCCAGGTCCTCTAATAAGACAAAATGAAGTCCACCAATATGATATAGGCAGTGACAACTCCATTAATTCAGATTTCTTTTCATGTCAGTTTTCAGCGGCGATCTGCTTAAAATACCCCTCTAATCAACTCTGAAATGACTGAATATCAATGTTCAGGAGCTATTAACCACACAACATGATGAGTGAACACTCTAATATACTGAAGTCCAATTTGGCAATGAACATGACTGAAGATTCATCTGCACGCTATATTTATGGGAGAAAATAGGACTTTTTTCCTGTAGGGTTAGAAGCCATCCAAGTTCCCGATTATATTGCAGTTTCCTGCCATTTTTATTTGCAAAAATATGTATTTTTGAAGGGGAAAAACTGAAGCATACCCTCTAAAAAAAGGTACATCACAATACAAAAAAAATTGTTAAGCAAACAATGAAAACGCTAAATTAACCCTCTAAAGCTCAGGCCTGCTCATATTTGTGCCAGGATTACAGGTAATTTTCGACTTACGACCACAATTGAGCCCAACACTTTAGTTGCTAAGCAAAACAGTTGTTAAGTGAGTTTTGTCCCGGTTTATGACTTTTTTTTGCCACAATTGTTAAGTAAATCACTGCACTTGTTAAGTTAGTAACACGGTTGTTAAAAGTGAATCTGGCTTCCCCATTGACTTTGCTTGTCAGCAGGTCGCAAAAGTAGATCACATGACCCCAGGCCATAAATACGAACCAGTTGCCAAGTGCCTAAATTTTCATCCCCTGGCCATGAGGATGCTGCAACGGTTGTAAGTGTGAAAAAAGGTCATAAATCCCTTTTCTCAGTGCCTTCTCAGTAACTTCAACAGTCACCAAATGAACTGTTGTAAATCAAGGACTGCCTACACTCAAACCTTCATGAAATAAACATGAGGTTAAAACAGAATGCATACATATGTTTAAAAGGTCATTTCGACTGTTCATGGTACAGTTTTGACGCTGAAGAATTCATTTTGGGAAAGAAAAACGTCATGGATTTCTTAACCACATTCTTTCTTTCTGTTCTAAGATCCTTGGACATTATGTCAGCGCACTCTTCAAACAAATATCTTTTTCCTTAAAAAACAATAAGCTTTGCTTTCTTGATAACTTTGAGAAAGCTCTAGTGCTTGTTGTTTCTTTGTTTTGCATCATTTTCCCAAAACTTTTGGTAACCAGGGACATTTATAATTTATTCTACTGTAGATGATACCTGTAAAATAGGCTTGTCACATCTGAATGTCTGTCTCTAATTCAAAATCTTTCACACATTAACCCATCCTCCCAAAACAACCCATCACAATATAAACAAGAATGTATAATGAGCAGAAAAGAAGAATAAACAGTGTATTTAAAACTGATGTTTGAATAAATAATTCTTAAGGGAGGTTCTCAAGATGTTAAAAAAGGGAGCAAGTGCCAAAAAGGCATAAATGTGATTTTAAAAAAATCAGTATCAAAACATATTTTACTATAAACAAGGTAGAGAAAGTCTGCAGAATAAGGTTTCAGGGATTCTTCCCTTCCCCTTTTCCAGCAGTGGCCATTGGCAGTGTCCATTATGCATGTTCTCCTATGCAATGAAGAAATAGGCTGTGTATGTTTGTGTTTTTTGTAGGTGTGTTTCTATTCTACCCTTTGGGTGTGTTTGTATGCATGTATGCACTGAGAAACACAGGGAGGGCAGCAAATATCCCCCTTTGGTTCAGAGACTGGGAGAGAGGGACCTTCAAATGGAATAAGAATCTAAGATCTGAGTTATTTTGCAACTGTCCTTCCCATAGGAATGCACTGGGCGAGGGGGAGGGGATTATTCCTTTCTTCCAAGTCCTCCCTTTTCAAACTTCTGGCTTCTTGTATCATATCACACTGGATCCCATTGTGTTCTGGTTTTGGAGAATTACCCTGCCGAATGACAGAGAGAAGCCTGAGTCCCTTTACCTCATTTCTCTGCCCCCCTCCCCAAACATCTTGTGTTCCAACCATTATCTGAGGGCTTTTCTACAAATGCATTAATGTTAAAGTAATGATGAATGATTCTCTAGTAAATCTTAATGCAAGGGAAGGGAAACGAACCACGGCAAACATTGTTCTACTTTTTTTTTAAAGGGCATTTTTATGCATTGTTTAGAACAGGGGTCCCCCATTGGGCCGCGGCCTGTTCAGAACTGAGCTGCAGAAGTGGCGGGCACAAGCGCATGCACGGCTCCACTTGAAGGGAATGAAGCTGGGCATGCACTCACCTGCTGCTCACGCAGAACCATCCCCTCTCCCCGTTCCCTGTTGGTCCGCAAAACCAGAAAGGTCGTGGACCACTGGCTTAGAGTCAGCATTGCCTCCGGTTTACGAAAACCCCATTTGTACAACTAACTATGTATGACGTGAGACAGAGGTGATGTTCAACCTTCAAGTATATAATTTGCTTTCAGCAGCAGACTGCTAATTGCATGCTGCTGTCCAAGGTGCTGATCTTGAAAAAGACAAAATAAGCCAAAGCAAAGAAGGCTTCTGTTTTAGCTAATGCAGTCATTCCCTCGGTAGTCCTTGACTTACGACCACAATCGAGCCCCAAATGTCCGTTGCCAAGCAAGACAGTTTTACATGGGTTTTCCCCCAAGTTCCTACCTTTCTTGCCACCATTGTTGAGAAAATCATTGCAGCTGTTAAATTAGTAAGTCTTTAAGCAAACCTGGCTTCCCCCTTGACTTTGCTCATTACATTGTCAAAGGTGATCACATGACCCTGAGACACTGCAATCGTCATTAATGAGTCGGTTGCCAAGCGGCTGAATTTTGATCACATGACCATGGAGATGCTGCAACAGTCATTAAGTGTGAAAAATGGTCATATGTCACTTTTCTCAGTGCTTAACCCTGTTGGTGTTTACAAGAATATACTGTACGTATGAATAATATCTGTGCCTAATGCTGAACTGAAATCAATAATCACGTTTTTCCTAAAAAAGTGAAGATGAGTTGTAAAGCAATGGCACATTGCCCTGTGCTGTCAAAATTACCTTTAGATATCTTGAGGTCTAGAAGCTGAGAGATTCACTTGATGAACTAACTGTCTCAACAAAACTTTGCTGCACTTCCTACAGTTGATGCTCAATACGCTCTACATGGGGCAGCCCTTGAAGAGCATTCAGAGACTTCAGCTCGTCCAGAATGCAGCCGCGCGAGCGATCGTGGG